ATCACCCTGACCTGCACCGTATTCCTCTGCGAATAACATTTTAAATCGGTCTCAAGTGTCCAGTGCATGCAAATGAATTCATTATTCATTCAGGTCTGTAGGATGAAATGCTATGGGGAGAAAACCTTTGAAGAGTAACTACCATATACCATTTTATATATATAAGAAGAAGAAGAAAAATAATAATAAGAAGAAGTGCAACCCTGCACTGGATAAGTGGCAATGGATGGATGGATGGATGGATGGATGGATGATTATTGATGTATGAACCACTTCCACTTATTCAGTATGAGGTCATTTTGAAGAATACTCTAGGCAGAGGGCATTCTGGACATATAACAACAACAATAATAATAATAATAATATTACAGTATTAACGCAGCAAGTTACATTTGACAAATTTACATTTGATGTTATTCAAGTTCATATTTTATTTGTTGATCTTTGGCCACTCCACTCAGACACCCCTGAGAAAGCATTCTATCCCTTTGTCTTGAACACCATCTTTTGCTCGCCTAATTAGCAAACTTGCTGAACGTTTTATTTGGCCTGTGGGTTGGGATAATAGATTATTGAAGTGCCTTGACCAGAACCGGGCAAACCTCTCAGCGACATCATGCAGTGCATTTTGCAGGCGGGTAAAGGGCCTCTTCTTCCATGCCATGTTTAGCTCTTGGGTTGGCATCCTATCCGTGGCGCTGCCTCTTCTGTCTCCCGTGTTTCTTTGGATAGGCTCCAGGTTAACCCTGCGGCACTTATCGAAGACGGATCGGTGAATGTTTGGGCCAGTTTGCATTCACTATATTGCATCAGGTTGCTTTTGAAACTTTTTTGACTGCAACAGTTTGCATGGCCATGAAGGTGGTGAATATGTAATACAACAGGACAAAACCAAAGGGGATATTAATACCTCTCCGGAAAAGCCTTAATTGAGTTGACATAACAGCGAGGTCCGTGCATGAGCAATTATCTCTAAACCTCCCAGTCTGCTCAGTTGCAGCACAGCTTCAGAGCACCTTGGTTCTGGAGCACTGCTAAGGAAACGTGACTGCGAGAAGACACCAGCGAAGTCAACGAAATCCTAATCACTCTGCCTGTTTGTTGGTATTATGTAACTGAGCCCTTCAAGAGAACATTGTTAAACTGGGAATAATGTTCATATTATATGTTTTTTGTCTTTGATGTCCTATGTAAAACATAACTGCATTTATTGTATATCGTTATCATGTAGATAATTATCCTTTTTATGCTCAGATGGAGTTTGTAGGATGTGTGTTTGTGTGGGGGGGTATTTCAAAGGACTGTCAGGAGCTCACATACATATTCACATAGAGTATGGGTTTATTTATTTTGGATTTTCTCCAGCAGAACCACTTATTATAAATTACACTCACCATTTTCCAAGGATACAGCCAAATGGGTGATTTCTTTATCTAATATGTAGCTGTATTGTGGGAACCAAATGAGGTTATATCCTGCGTAATAACAGTATCGTGCACCAGCAACCTCTGCAGCTGAAGCAGGTTTAAACGGTGAGAGCAAACAGATGTGAGAGGTGCATTTAATCTCCAGCATCATGACTATCTTGCACCAAGTCTAGGCTCCTATGCAAGGTAAAAGAAGTGAGACAGAAAACCCCAAAACATTTAAGCAAATTTACTCTGAAAGTACAGAGGACAGGACAATCATGGCATTTTACTTGTCAACTGGACATTTTAATTTAGGCCCAGAAGCTCTTGGAACACCAAGTTCTAACAGAACTATCTGCACCAGCCCTTGTACATATACAGAGTTGTGAGAAAAAAGAAAAAAAAAAACATTTTTTAAGCAAAGTAGTAGGATGCAGCAGACGCAAGACATCAGATCATGTACGGCATATGGCAGCAGGGATTAATTAAAAGAATTTTATGGGACAAAATGTATATATACAATGTGGTTAAAGCCACATTAAGACCAGAAAATCGAAATACATTAATAAATTCAGCCATACACAATGACAATGCAAAGATATATTCTACCCACCTTTCCTTATCACTCCTCCGCGAAACATTCTCGTCTCTTCAACTGATCCTCCCTAAGAAAACAGTCAAGCTAATGAAGGCAAGCTAATGAAGGCAAGCTAAGTTTCATGAACTCTTACCTGACACTTTAACTGGCGATGACTCATCACAGCAACACACAAGATCACCCAAACCCCAACCAGGACCGTCACTCTGCCTGCTGTTCCCCACATCTTCTCCAGTTTAGACACCGGAGCTCCTAATCACTGCAATACTCATTGCATTGACCCAATAGGTAGTTTAACTGGCTACTTTTAATATCATCATGCTTGTAAATGCAGTTTGGAAATATACAGTATGTCTAGATCTTTTCAAATCTTTCTCAGGTATGTGTCTCTGCATGTTGATATAAATATGTATGCTACATTAAAGTAATGGATGTCTGACATTGATCCACATATACTTGTACTGCGAAAAGCATAGACATCTGGCATAAAGATTTGTGGAAGCCCAAGTATGCATAGAAGAGCATTACACAAGAAATCTAACATTTCACTTACTTGTACTGGTATTTTATAAATTCCGTTGCTATTTGGAGCCCAGAGTGGACACTGGACAGCAGGGAACAACACAAGGGATCTTGATTAGAGAAGAAACCAGGGTCTTTGTACTTAAATGATTTGGAGAAATTCAGGGGTAAAAGTGTCAACATTATGCAGCCACAAGCTCACTCAGTTGGTGAAAAGTTCCTGTGATCACTCATTCTTATCCTGCTCTTTGTACACAAGAGCCAGCCATTTTCCATCAATCAGAGGCCATTAACACAGGGCTGTAGCACCCGTCTATACCAGCGAATGGACTGAGTCAAATCTGATATCTTCTTTCTGATTTTATGCTTTTGTAAACATTATTTCTTTCGTCAGTTACAGGTAGCAGAATAGCTATGTAGGTTTGTTGGCATAGAGTAGTAAAACAACTCCCTATAAAGCATTACGATTTCCTGAGATATCAGGACTAAAAGCACATATCTCTGCATAGCTGCAAATCAGGCCAATAGCAGAAAAAGTAGACAATATAAAGTAATGTGCTACTTTATAAAGAACAAGAAAACGCTCTAACGCCTTTCATTTTCATATACAGTACACCTTAGTCGATAATAGGTAGACACAACCCCTTTGTAATATTTTTAGAAAAACTGTTCCACTGAGGAAGATAACAATGTTAAGATTAATAAGAGTGGGTATAAATTCTCCTCACACATATTCTAAAATTAAAACGCAAAGATGCGAATGCCTTTCATTTTAATAAAACATTTTGTTCTGGTTCAGAAGCAGTCCATTGCACGTCAATAAGCCCTAAGAAGTGTTAATACATTAAAATTCCATCTTTCCAAGGAAGGGAAGAGACGTTTGAGAGAATGGAAATGGCTTGTATTACTCATATTAATCATTTGAGCCAGTGTAGTTGATTTCCAGTTATTGGTTGTTTTTGGTTTTAAATTATAGTAGTGATGCATTTTGCCTAAGAGCATTTTCATAATAACCTTGTTAAAATATGGGCTTAAGAGGACAAAAGACAATGACTATACAAGGTTTTTATGCGCATTTGTGTTTCTATACTTAGCCCGAGTCTCCATATTCCGTACTTTTATACATGGGACGTCAAGCTGAGCATCATGTGCGTTTGTATCTGAAGTACCGATGGTGTCACTGGTGTCAACCTAGGTGCCGTCTTGTCAATAAAGTTTTACATTAATAAATGCAAGCAATACGTGCAACAGTAATCTAATTCTTATACAGAAACCAGCTTATTTGTAATAAATGTATTTATCTTTCTTTTTCTGCCGCTTACATTAAAAAAAGTATAATAAATGTAATGGTACCTTAAAAGTTTTAAGGCTTAATACTTAAAACAGTTGAAACACTAACCTCAGTAAACTGCTATCATTTCAGTTAGCTTTGTATTCCTGTCTGTTGTAAGATATTCTTGCTTTTAACATGTTAAGGAAATAACTGGAAGGTGGAGGAGAATATGCTTGTTTTTTTTGTTTACTCAGAATAAGGTGTCAGGTTATTTTACAAACAGTAAAATAAGGTGAAGAATGTCATGCAAATTACATTTTAAGCCGTTCGTACATTGAAGGACTTTGCAGTTTCATATGCTGATTATTGCAGAAACTTTGTTCCATGTGACTAAAATATAATCCTGTGGTTGTAAATTAGCTTAGCAATACTTTATCTTAGCTGTTCTTGTTTTTGGTAATAACTAGGAGTTACAGTTGGGTAGTTTGAATTGGATTTAATGGACAGCCTCAAAGTTTTGTTCCTGCCTACATTTGACATTGAACCTACAGGAAGGCCATCTCGCTGACGTCCTGTTATCGGGTCTTTGCACCTCTCTGTTTGGATCTGTGCCACCAGGAAAGAACATGACTTGAAAATCTTGCATCTTGGATGTTTTACAAAGGAACGAAAGGCACCAAAGAGGCAAAAATATGGCTGTTTGCACCAAAGACTGCTGATAACAATGAATCCAGGTTTCAAACAGGAGTAGATGTGGAAGATTCACCCCCAAAAAATGACTGAACATCATGTTGCTTGCTCTGAAACTTCTAGGGGCTAAGTATATTCAAATATATCTATTTAAAGGATTAGTTTTCTGTGGTATCAGGTTTTTGTGTTTAGTTTATGTTGCTACTGTATTTTCTAAGTGTGTAACATGCAGTTACTGTAGGGAACATCTCAATAATTCAGCAGGCCTCGCTGGATGTTCTGGCTACATCTCTCTGTAACTAACTGTTTTGTGTGCCTTGTTCTTTGCCTCATCGCTGCTGCTTTGATTTTTAATTATCACACCGAAGGAAATAAGAATCAACATGGATTTCGTGAAGCATAATCTGAAGAAACTGCTTCTCGTCGATTAGCATATAATGTACTCCTGTACCTCTCATTTCTCTCTCTTTCTCTCCCCATTTTTTTATTTTTTTTTTGGTTCATGCAGATCCCAATGCCTTGCAACAGAAAGGTCCAGACCACGCGCTTATTGGAGGGGTGGTTGCGGTCGTTGTCTTCATCACTTTATGTTTGATAATTGTATTAGGACGATATCTCGCTCGGCATAAAGGTATGACATTCACTTTCTGCTCCACAGAAATTCTATCTCTTTGATGACTGGCCATATGCATTTTCAAGAAGACTGTCTGGTTCAGGGCTATTCAAATCACGGTCCGCAAGGTCCGGGTGCTGCTGATTTCCCAGCTTTCCTTTACCTGTGAACCAGGTGTGAAGCCTCTGTGGCCAATCAGAATCAGTAATTATTAGTCAGACCTGAAAACAAGGCCTGGATTTGGAATTGAGGTCCAGATTTGAAAAGCCCTGCTCTGGTCTAAGCCCTGTCCCCAGTTCATAATCAGTGTGTGATTAATGTTCTGCAGTGAGCTGCACCAGCTTAGCACAAGTTCGATTGTAAGGTTGCGTCGTGTTCTTTGTCGGTTGCACCACTGCTACTTAAGTTACATCATAGTTAGTAGCTACTAAATAAAAATATGCAACTAATCAATTTCATGGGCATGTGCAAACTTAAAACAGATTTGTTTTGTCTGTATTTGTGAGAACCATTTAAAACACAGCTGTAATAAAACCTGTAATGTGTCCTGTGTGGTGCGATTGTAAGAAGGGCGTTCACTAGGTAGCATGCTGGGTATGGATTAGGGGCGCAAATGATCACAAAACTCACGGTTTGGCTCATATCACGGTATTTGAGTCGCAGATCGGATCAGTTTTTGGATGAGCAAAGAAGAAAAAAGAAAGCCGTAACTTTGCCTTTCATTTATTACTTAAAGAACTGAAAGAAAACTCAAAGCAAGGAACTTTTAACGTGCCCAGTTACGTGAACAAACAAGCTGCTTTGTCTGTATCTTTTCACTGCAACATTGGACGGATGTCCTTAGAGGACGTACATCATAGTCTTTTTCCGTCTTATGTCGAGATCATGACTTATTTTTCTTGTGATCTCAACATTGCCAAAGTTGTTTTCTCAAGATCACAAAATGAAAACGGAAAAACAAATGTCGTAATTAGACATGTGAACAGCATGTCTTGAGAAGGAGGGTATATGAATTCCATGGCATTTTTGTTATTGCATTCTCACAGAAAACTTAAAATTCCCATTTAGTGGGGGATTCTCTCTTGTTGTGAGAAATGATTTTAAGTTTAAGAAGTGACTGCAGCAATAAAACTATTTCACACCATCACGTTTAAACTTTGCAGTTAATCCGCAGTTTACATACATTACAGCTAAGCTCTGTTATGCCACTAGTATGTTTATTAAATTTGTGGTACAGTTAGACATTTGTTGTTGGGGCTTGACATTCATTGTGCTACATGAGAGGCTCGAGCTTAAGGAGTACAAACAGGGTTAATGCGAAACAAATAACTCGACTAAGGTTGATATATCGAGTCAGTGACCTTGTTTTATCCTAAATCAGCAGATAACGTAATGAATTATTACAATTATCTCTGATAATGTTATATTATTATAATGTTATACTATTTTATATGTTAAAAACAAAAAGTTTTGTTAGGTTATTTACATCTGTCCCTTTTTCACTACCTTTAAACATTCTTTTTTGTTACAATGGACCTTACAAATAATGTTAAGGAAGTGTAAAATTTATATTATAACTATGTGCTATGTTGAAACTATTTGTGTGGTGCAACCGATTATTTTTTAGTGGTATGTGAACTCGAATGTAGCGGCAGTTTACGGCTATCGTAGGCTAAGATCAAACTTAGCTGGTGCAACCCACTGCTGAACTTGACTCTGGGGGTTTTAGATGTCTGGGCTGTTGCAGTAATGGGGGTTCCTGAGAAACGCAATGCTAACATGAGGCGAACATGCACATTTTACACAGCCCTGGTCATGATCCTGCTAATAAGAGTGACCACAGTGCCAATCTGAGGCTTCATAGTGGCAAATCTGAGTTTCTCTTGAGAATAATGGTTAACTTTGTTACCCGCTTCATGCAGAAACACCTGCTACACAGAAACAGTAAATCAGCCTTGGAATGTAAAAGTCGTACTGCCGAGAATCGCTGCTTTCTTTCCATTGGTAGCATGTACATGTTGTCAAGGCGATGGTGCGGTAATTCCTCTGCTCTGTCTCCGCTGTGTCGGCGGACGTATGCAGGGACGTATCTAACGCACGAGGCCAAGGGGGCAGAGGACGCTCCCGATGCAGACACGGCCATCATCAATGCAGAGGGGAACCAGGCCCATGCCGCGGAGAAGAAGGAGTACTTCATCTAATTCTGCGAGAGCTCGTCAGACAGCCGATGGGCAGGTCTTAGGAACTCAACACCAGCATCGCTCTGGTCCTAACCTCCCCTCCATTCCTTCTCCTATCCTTCTCAGTCAATTTGCAGATCAACTCATAATTCTTCAAATAGCTACTTTTTTAAAGTACGCGCCTAATTACGATGCCAACTTTTTGTACTCACATCCCCTCACCACCAGAGTCCCTAACCCTTCCTCCCTGATATATTGTTTTTTCATAGTGCCTAAATTTAAGGACGCCCATCTGAAGTCAATGACTACAAAAACGATTCTTATTAGGGATTAACAGGTGTTTCTAGAGGTGAAGAAGATGTGCCAAAACCCCACCGATATGTCTAATCTGCTGGTACTTTTCATCTGGAGGTCTGGTATTTCTGAGCAATGTGGACACTTAGTTCAGAAAAGCTCAGACACGCAAATGAGTTAGCTTTAAACAGAGAGAGAGAAAGTGAAAAAAACCCAAACATGTAACTGTATAGTTGTTCTTGATGTAAACAGAGTCAAATTCATTTTGACGAAAAAATGCTACTGGACGTAAATGGAATATGTGTGTGTGCTTTTTTAAAAAATATGTTTCAAATCAGTGAAGGGATTTATTGTAAAATTAAGTTCCTAATCCAGTTTCTGTCTAAATTTAAACCTGTACAAAAAAGATGGATATCAGAATCAATAGATATTTGTGTAAATATCTCCTGCCCTATAGATGAAGAATAAAAGCACATCTTGGTACCTCTGCTCCCAGACTTTTCAGGGGGAACTTTCATGTTTACTGTCTGATATATAACGAAAAACAAAGTGATGTTTCAATTTTAAATGAAAAAGCACAAATTGTACAATTGTAAAAAAGTTACACTGTTTTGGCTTTTAAAACACACATTGATGTTATATTTCATAATTGGACTCCGACCTTACCTGATATATATGTCCAGATGTAGAAATTAAGTGAATTATAAGTTAATTTATTTAGTCAATGAAATTGTTCAGCAAACTAGCAGAGTTTCTCCCTAGTTGATAATACCATGCATTACCTTTGCTATATGTAGTTATTAGTGAAATTGTTGTTGACTTTGGAATCCCTCATACTTTGAAATTTGTATATTAGCCAATTTATATATTGAAAAATACTGTACTCTGTAAATCATAAATCATAAATCTCTCTCTCTCTCTTTTTTGGGGTGGGGGCTTTGTTCATACTCAAACAGATCATGTTGGCTAGACTATGACAAACATCAGCGTCCTAGCCGGCAAATTGAAACCAGACGTGTAACGGCATGATATGCTGAGGCAGTATGACGTCATTCGCACAGATGACTGACTTGGGAGACCAATTGTACAAGTTAAAGGTAGCAAGTTGTCTCTGGCTAACAGGCTTCCTTGGCCTCTGCTGCGTTCCAGCCCATAATGCCCGTTATGGCAGCCCTTCCTGTCACTTTACATACACTTGCATCACATTTATTCGTCCCCACTGTGGGAACGTGTTTGTCTCTTCTTATTCATTGAGGGTGTAGCATTAGCATTAGCTACATAAGCACCTAGTTTTAGTTTACTTCTCCTGGTGAGGGTTGCAGATCTTCTATTATTATTATTATTATTATTATTATTCATCCATCCATCAATCTATCCATCCATTTTCTGTAACCACTTATCATTTCTCGGGCCACGGGGGTCCGGAGCCTGTCCCACAGGCTATGGGCGCAAGGCAGGGACCCTTCATTTGTAGGATTGTTACTAACTTCTCGTGATCCGTTGTTAGGGAAGAAGGAAATCAAGCTGAATTAAAACTAAATCTAAATAAAATCCAATTTGTGACTATGAGTTTACTTAATCACCAGCAGAGAGATAGCTGCTAGCCCACAGAAAAAGCCTTGAGGCCATTTTAAACATCAGTGAACTAATATGTTAAAAAAGTAAATCAATAAAGAAGGGAGCTGCTCTGGAATGCCTACTGAAATTCACTCTGCTTCATCCCAGATACCCGATGCATTTACTTTATTGTTTTATTATGGGTTGGCTTTATAGATGTGCATTTTAAACACACATTAAATAATTAAGCCCGGCAGTACTTAATGGCGAAGGGCAAACTTTGTCACGCCTCATCTGACCATGATTAACGTTGGTGCGCCCTGCCGTTTCAGTGTTGTAGATGACTGTAATGTAGCAGAACATGATACTTTGAGGAGTTAGTACTTAAGGAGTTAAATGCCACTATCACTTTAAAATACATTAAGGGAATGTGTATCTGTAGGGGATGCAGAGAGAGAGAGTACTGAGTATGCACATAACATTGTTGACTAGCTTTGGTTAATAATGTCTTCTTTCTTGTTTTTAATAAAAGCCCGCAAATGTGACTTTTTTCTATATAAGACTGTAATTATTGCAGACAAGCAGAAACACAGGGGCATTGTCCATAATGCTCCTATATTGTACAACACAGCAAAACACTTATGAAATTTGTTCACCTCGCAAGAAAGTGCGCAGTGTTTGAGCTTGTAGATTTTTTTTTTCTGCTGGGGAGCCTGAAGGTTTGCCTCATTGCAGGATATAAATCACCGGCAGTCACACAGTTACCCTGAGAAATACCGAGATAGCCTTTGAGTCTATACCCAACAGCGTGAATGACATGTTCAGCACTGGGTTCTACTGAAGTCAGTCACTAATCTTCCCCTGTCAGGATTACAGATAGAACATCCATATGTTCAGTCAAAAATCTTTTTATCTCATAATGTTGGTGTTCTACTTTTTATAAAATATCAAACTGTAATTTAAGTTTCTACACGATCATTTTACTCTTTATATGTGTGTGGGTTTTTTGCATTTTTGAAAGAAACAAGGACTGTTGAACAATTGACTTTAAAATGTAATTGTCTAAAGACGCAGGTGGCAGAGGAGGTTTGAGAAAAGGCTGCAGGACAGACAACAAGCAAACATTACTTTTGTGTGTTGATGGGTCAAAACGTGCCAGTCAGAATGACGTCAACAGAAAGGTCTGTTTTTTGTTTCCAGCTGTCCCATGATGAATTTCATCGATGAGCAGCCACAAGCATTTTGTTGTACATTTGCAGTTTCAGCACCAGTTAAAAAAAATAGGTCCAATCTATGAGAAAGAATAGCATTTGAATGAATGTGCCCATGCATCTTTAATGATTACAACTCTTAGGACTAGCTACCTGACCTAGAACAATATATAGAAAGGAGATTTACTTGGTCTGTAAAACAGCATGTATTGACAATGAAAATTCACTTGCCTGTAAAATCTCATCTGATGTAACAGTGACCAGTTACAGTATGGGCAGGAATAGGCCGCACATGTTTGTTTTCTGGAGTATGCAATCTGATGTAACATGGTTAAACTCATTAAACACGAGACAGCTAGGAGGGATTACTTCTATATTCGTTTTTTGACAACTTCATTTAATACAGTAGCTAATTTATTTATGACATCCCATGCTGGTGCATTAATTGAGCATATTTATTCTTATCAGTATCATCAGGTAACAGTAACAACAACAATAAGAACAACAACACATCTGTTAGCCTGGCAAAAAACAAAGATTTTGTTTTTATTTAACGCAGCCTGTTGATCGTTTTATCTGCTTAGGCCGTTTGGTTTGTTCCCAATTCCAGACGCCGAGTTTGTGTTTGTGTATATATATAAAGTAGGTGCCAAAATTTATGACACGTTATAGTCTCACATTTTTGCAGTATTTATTTTTTTGTCTCAGGAATATGTTTTACATGTTTACACATTTGAAACTAGTAGCTTAACACTTCCCATCTGCTTGCTTTCTGGAGCCATGAAACTGTTAATAAAAGCTTTTCTTTTTCCCATTACTCGAATTTTTACTTCATTATCTTATATTTTACTTAAAATTTATATTATCTGCATTTTGAAAACCACTGTAATAATATTGTTTTATTTAAATCGCTAAATGGATCTGCTCCCACAACCATGGATAAACACTGAATTCTCCACATAAAATTCCATGACGTCAATATATGATCTTAATCCTGTTTCCTTTAATATGCTGGGCAGCATAAATTTTGCAGAACCAAGTTGACTTTACTCAGACAGTGGCTCAATATTATAGATACAGCTACATTCAATACATCAATTAACATATAGACTGGATTTTCAAAAATCTGCTTTTAAGTGACGTGTGCACTTATTAGTTTTACTTTTTCAATTCCATAGTCCACATCATGTAAACTAAAACAGTCATATGAATACCAACTTACTTGAACTATAGCAACATGGATCATCATTGTGTAACAATTTCTGACTCTAGATAAAATAGAAAATGACACTTTGTAAAGTGTGGATACATCCTCAAAATGATTTATTTAAGGAAGAACTCATTACTGGTCATACTGTCTTTTACAGATGTTATAATGAACTATTAAGCATTCAGGAAGCTTTATATAGCCGTTATAGCTGGATAGGTCATAGCTTACAATGAAAAACTCCAAGTAAATTAGGTATTTATTCAGTTTATTAGGTATTTATAATGCGTCTTGAATGCCTATTATGTCGGATTCTGTGTCTTTTTACCAGCTAATTGTTTGTATTGGCTATATCTTATCGTAATGGGAAAAAGAGGTAAAGAAAAATTCAAAATAACGTAATCTGGAGGGAAGACTTCAACGTGCAGCACCGAAATGTTTTCTTGTGGGCTGTTTTATTTCTGTATTTATTCATTTTGATACAACTGTCAGTCAGTTCTGTACGCACATGGAGTCTCCGGAACATGCAGGAGTCATGCTTCTTGTAGTAAGCTGGAGTGGAATCCCTCACGTGAATGTGTTCCTGAAGTATTTAAAGGGTCTGAAAGTCAGGTTGAAGCAATTTTCGCCTGTATGGAATTAAAGTACTGAACAAATAAATACCAGTTTACTGGTAACAAACCATTTTTTTCAGCTTAATTCTTTTTGTGTGTCCGTGTCTCGAAAGCCGCTTTACAGGACATATATTAAGATCCTTCGAATTCAACTCTTTATGCAAATGATCCCACACGAGTATAATAGTACAGTGCCTGCAGCTAGGAATGCAGTAAATGAGGCCTTTAAAGTGGTGGGTGGCAGTGAACGGGCACTGGCAGTGTTGCACTGGTTTAACCAATTTCTCATTGGGGTTCTAAGCATAACTTTCTGTTTAAAATTTATTAACTTTTTTCATTTTTTTGTATGATGTCATTTATTTTGTATCTTCAGTCACCTTGAGCCTATTAATGGAGACGCAGAGCCTTTTGTATCTAAACAGGCATAGATAGTAAGGTCTTTCTATGCTTTTGGTGCAGTTAAACTGGTAGCTATTGTTGAGAAGCTCCAAGTTCTGGCTTCGGCTCTGCTTCTTGCTGAGCTCTTTTATCGGTGCACTTTGTAACATCGGTGTCTACCTCACCTGAGGCAGCTTTTACTCATTTAATGCATCCATCTTGTGTGCCGTTTCTTCACACAGGGCGCCGGTGAGCCTGAATCTCATTAAGCACAGGGCACACGACTGGGAATACGCAGGATAGGAAGCCAGTCCATCACAGGACACAAACACACAATTATACGCCACCAGGCAATTTAAAGAGAATGATTCACCAAACAATATGATTTCAGACTGCAGGAGGTATGCATGTAGACATGGGAAGAACATGCAAATTCCACATACACAGAGCCAGCAGTAGCAATTGAACCTGTAAGACAGTTTTTATTGGGTATTGCTGGAGTCAAACCTCTCAATTGGGTAGATCCTCCGTCCTCCCACCCCTTCCAAAGCCCAATGGATGTTTTGTTTCTGATGTTGTTAAATAAGCTCAAGATTACCATGTGTTCAAAAGCAGCTCAGCAGTTTGAAACTATCCCAGCTGTAGGCAAACGCTGCAGTCTGACTTAACCTGGACTAAACGCCTGCTTGTGGATGTTTTGCATTTCCCCGGCATCTTGCCTACGTCTCAGATTCTCATCCATCGTCACAAAATAAAAGTAGTGCCTTGGTGGGGGGGGGGGGGGAGCAGAAAAAGAGCAGGTCTGTCTTCATAAAAGCTGATCTGCGCAGAACTCCGAAATAACAGCTTGCCCTGGTTGAAGTTTTTATAAGGACGGTTAAATGAAGGAGTTGGAGGCTATAGCATCTGTTAAGTTTGAGTGATGAATGTGTTGCGGGAACAT